GAATTCAACAGATACAATATGATAATGGAATGACTTTGGGAAGTGGGAATTAGTGTGCCAATCAGTAGGTCTATGTCGGAGGTTAGTGGGGGTGGTGAAGGATCCAGCTTGTGGACAGATCCTGAATGTTGCCACCCTGCCATTCAGTTGGTGTCACCATGACATCATGTAACTTAAAAGGAAAGAATCAAGGTTGATCTCCCCATTGTTTCTTTTCCTCCTTTGTTGTCATGACATGGTGGGAAGCTCCCCCTTTTCTTTTGCAGCTTGCCTGAGTGCCAGTTCAACCAACCCATGTCTGCAAAGGCCCAGTTGGGCCTTGCATTCAGCATTGAATTGAAATTCATCACCCAATGCAAACCCAAGTGGGAACTCACGGGTAAAGCGGATCCAAGCAGAGCCTGCATTGGGCCCCATATTAGAAAATGCTGAATGGTACCCAATGGGAAGCACATTCTAATGGAGGGGTTGGCAAGGTTTACCTCCATGGGCCAGATTGCGCGTGAGCGCGCACACCTGTGATTTCCATCGTCTGCGCAGACGCGATTTCCGGCGCCGCAGAAGCAAGTCCCCATGCCGCGTTGTGCCAGTTTAGCGCAGTGCGCGAGGACTCGCCGAGCGGGCAGCTCGTGGGCCGGTTAAACAACCCCCATGGGCCGCTTGTGGCCCATGGGCCTTAGGTTGCCTACCCCTGTTCTAACGCTCCTGGTCATTCTTTTGCAGCTGCAGCTATACGTGTCTCATAACTGACTTCAGATGTGGGGAAGATGGGCATGGCTGGAGGGGGGGAACAACCCTGTGGGTCCAATTAAAGCCCCTGGCAGAACTAATTTGGCTTCACGCTGGACATTCCCATTCCTGGTCTAAGTTACAGATTTGGGAAAGGTTTATGACTTCATTTTAATTCACTATTATTGGAGGCTCATTTTCTCTTCCGCTCTTGTCAGTTATATTACTAGAAATAGTGGATTTAATTGGACTTAATTTCTCTAGTTTCCCTTCAGTTCAGAATTACAGGAGAAAATGTGGTTTTAAAATAGAATTCTTTATTAACCTATTTGTATCCCAGCCCTATAAATGGATCATTGGGGTCTTCCTCAGTTGTATTGCATTAATGACAATTACTCACAAGGCCTACATAGCTGCGGGGCAGCAGAGCTTCCATTTGTGTGTGTATATGCGCCTACATGTGTGGGTGTCCGTGTGCATGTGATAGATATTTAATTTCTAGTAGGTCTGAATGCCTCTAATCTTTTTTTAAAAAATGTTTATTTTGAAGTAAGCTGCGCTGAGTTCTGAATGAATTATTCCAAGTATGCTGAATATTGCAGTCAGACGTTGAGGAAAGTATTCTTGGTTTGATGAAAAAGGCTAATCATATATAAGTGAAGTATGAAGTGGGGTGGTGGAGGCACAGTTTAAAGCAAGAGATTGAAAATAGAATTGCACATGGGCAAGAGAGGAGAGCCATGATAGTGGAAGGAATTGGCTTTAATAAATGCAAATTATACAGGGAGATGATAGATCGCTTCGTAAATTGTGCAAGTGTGTGGTGCATTTGCAAATTTATGCAGAAATGTGTTTTGCAGTAATGGTTCCTTTTATTGCTGCTTTTTCTAAATAGCAACAAAATGGGATTGTCACCAAAAAACAGTATCTGCATTGGGTGGGAAAGAAAACATGCGCACAGAAAAATACTTTACCATCCATTAAATACCTTGTAAATGGAATAGAATTGATCCCAAGGATGTGTGTAATCACATTATGATTTCCTATTTTTTATGAATGTACGGGTGGAGAGTGAACATTATCCATGACTACTCATTGGATTAGAAAATATGGACAGGATAGACAGCAGATTTAGCAGGTGTTAATGTGCTAGAGAAATTGGTGGTAAATAAGCCAGCAAGTGGTCTACCTGGAATGAAAAAAATGCTCTGAAACGGTTATAGAGTTAGGTGTTAGTTCCTGCACCTTATTCTAAAATTTGCCACCTCATTAAATTAATGTTGTCAACACCAGAAGATTGGGTAGGAGATCAATCAAGGAAGGACATTAAGGAGTCTCAGAGCATTCAACTTATTTAATAATAAGTTGCAGCATAGCCCTGATTCACGCATATCACTTGATTTCTTTAAATCTGAATTCTGTGCATTCGGCGATGTGAGATGATGTGGAAGCTCAGTGGTGAACTGTCTGTGATGACCCTTACACAAACTACAGATGATCTTAACAGTTACCAAGTTATTAACATGTGTGTGCTCTTTCAGAATTAACTAAAAGTACTGCAGATAGTAGATGCTTCATGTTAAATAAAGTGGATTCGGTGAAGTCTACCAAAACATTCCTACTGTGGACGATTTTATTTGTTTCACTGAGACTTGAGGAAGATTTGTTAAAACATGCGAGGGTTATCCGGTAACAGTGTTTGGTGAGGCACCAACATTTGTCTCCTGCTAATGTTTTGTTTGTTTGGCAGGCAGTGGGGGGAATCCAGGAAACAAATGTTTTAGTTTTTATCTTCCAGGAACCAATGTATTGATTTGTTTCTGTTTTCCCTATAACATGGGGAGGAATTGGACTGTCAGTTTTCCTGAATCTGTGGGAGGTACTTCATAGGCATAGAGGGTATTTTACACAAGACTTGACCATCCTGTTTTTGGACTGAGCCATGCAGGGAAAGATGAAGGGCCGAACCACTCCTACCCACTTCCACAGTATTATCTTACCACCTGCCTCAAAACAGATGACATACACAGTCACTGCAAAGGAGTGTGCCAAATGAGCATTGTGAATGGTGGCTGCTGGGAAGCAAATCTAGATCTGCCACATCTCTGCTAATAGGGGCTTAGCTCTGAAGCTAACTGCCTTTTGCAAAGAGAAGTATTAAAATGTTCCATCTTGAGCTGCTCTGTATGTGCACACACAGCTGCATGCACACATGCTCCGTTCCTTTGTCTTTCCTTATCTTCAGTCTGCTTTATAAAAGGTTTATAGTCTCCTTTAAATTTTTAAATGGAAATATGTTTAATTTAAAGTTGAGATTGCATCAGTTTGGGAGAAGGACAAGCTGCTCTAATTGTGAACGAAAGCACTTTAGACAGCTGCTTCAGGTTATTATTTTCATGTTTCGGTTCCACTGCTGCAGTGTTGCGTTTTGATTAAAGACATCTGAAATCCAGCCTACTCTTGCGCAGGAGGCTTCTCTGTTTATAACCAAAGATCCAAAAGGCTTCTCCTTTGTAAAAAGGGGAAAGCACCAAAGAACGCCACGTCGTCTAAGAAATGTGTTGCTGGTTTTCTTTATTGGTTGTCAAACCTGTCAGGTGAGAAGAGTAACAGATGAACAAGCAACAATACATCCAAAAGAGTGCTTCCAATCCCACCATCTCAGTTGCATGCTTTCGCACTAAACAGGAAACGTGGAAAATGAGGCAAAGCACGAATCTTGACAGATTGGGTAGCCTTTTCTCCAGACTGGAAAAATTACTCTTGCTATGTAGGCTGGATGGCAAATGGAATTAGCCCATCAGTAAAGCATGAAAGAGGATAGGACTGCATGTCCTAACTACATGTGATGAAAAATATGCAGCTGCCAATCATGGCCATGGCTTTCATTTATTTAATAGCAAGTGGCAGTGGGGGACCCTAATTTTTACCAGGACCACATAATGCAAAGTGGGAGCTTTTTTCTTCCTGCTCCAGCCATGATCTCAAGGAAAATCCCCTTCTCCCACATGGTAATTAGTGATGGGGAAAGTGATCCCATTAGGATCACTTGCTAACACTAATTGCTGTGGGAATTTCTGCAATAATCAGAGAAGGGGAGAGTTAAACCTTACCTCATTGCATATTGCAGATCTGATAAACATGGAGAGGGGAAACTGGCTGTTAAGTAAGCAAAAACCCTGATTCTGACAGTGGCACGTTTAGAATTGAATGTTGTTCAGTGTTTAGTGACTACACAAATGCATTATAAAAAGCATTCGAAGTTCTGTATCACTTTGGGATACAGACTCCTCTCACTTCCTGAGAGACATTCAAAGTATTTATACTGCACCAAAGTAGCCATCAAATAAAAGGTACAATTTGTGTGTGGTGTCCTGTAACTCTTCTCAAATCTAAGTGATCTCACTGAATAATATCATAAATCCATATCTGTGACACAATTAATGTGTTGTTGTATAAATGTTTATTATCAGAAGCAATGACTTGGTCACTTTTATTGCACCAAGTACCCTGGTTTGACAAAAGCATGAAGCAATCCAGCCAGATGGGTATAAATAAATATGATGATGATGATGATGATGATGATGATGATGATGATGATGGCAAGACAGACCAACCATCCTCTAGGCCAGTGCTGCCCCACCAGAGTGGCAGTGACCTAAAAAGAATTCCTTACTGGTCCTAGTAGCTGTCACTCACTGTTATAGCTACAGGTGCTGGGACCTTTTTCCATGGTAAGCATGTACACCACTGAGCTATGGGTCATCCTATAATGCTTCTTCATAGGTCACAATAATTAGATTATGTCTGAAACCTCTAATTTGTGGTTCTCCTTTTATCAATGATCTGGCCCAAAGTTAGAGGCAGTGTTGCATTGCACTGGATGGTGGCAACACAATCCTGGAACCAGATAGGCAGATGGCCATTGCATAGCCCACTGTTTCCATAGTTTCAGCTATTATAGGCTTGTTAGTAGGGTGAGGGTGAAAGTTTATTAGTCCCCCTCCCCATTTCTTTTGGCATTTTTATCATGGCTTCTTACTGCTGTTTGGATTTATTCACCAGAAGATTCTACATTGCTAACTCTTCCACATGGAATGTAAGACAGCTTGCTATCTAGATTTAGCAGGCTTCAATAAAATCATGTTAACAGATAACAGTAAGTGTTGCATGCTCAGTAGATTTAAGAGATGCCAATAGGGCTAAGCAATGATAGTAGTCCTTGGTGTATAGAGAAAACCTTGTGGAGAATGAAGCAAGCCAAATCCCTGGGATAGCTCAGTTGGTAGAGCATGAGACTCTTAATCTCAGGGTCATGGGTTTGATCCCTATGTTGAGCAAAAATACTCCTGCATTGCAGGGGGTTGGACTAGAAGACCCTTGTGGTCCCTTCCAATTCTACAAAATTCATCCACCTGACAAATTTAGCAAAAAGCACCCCCACTGCCTTTCTATCCACCCATCATATCTCTGTCTATCTCACCTGATGGCTTTGAACGGGGCCTCTCTTCGTAGTCCTTGAAAGACTTCTTTGTCAATGAAAGTAGCTATAGCTTAATAAGCAAAGAGTGCTTCGGTCAGGTGGATTTCATTTTTGATCCTTTCGCTTTTTGTGAAGGTCTCGGTTCAGCAAGGACTCTAATGCATCTGTCAAATCCCCACCAAAAGAAATGTCTTTCGTTCCTCAAGTTGATGAATTGAGGCTCGAATCTAGAGTTGTTCTTTGATCTGCTGAAGATGGTGAATAGATTCACATGACAATTACTGCCAGAATTAATCTTATGGTCTCTCAAAAGCTGCTAGCCCGATTATTCCTTTTCCCTGCTATATTCAGGTCCCTCTTCAGTTCTCCAAACTCTGTATGTGCTGATTTCCACCACCATTTATTTACATATTATGTCACAGAGGACATTTATGGATGCTGTTAACTAAAGCCATCATTTTTTACCCACTTGCCAGAGCCTAAGGAAGATGACCATGCACTCTTCCCAAGCAGTTCTAATGGTCCTTCCAGCAGCATAATATAGAGAAAGAGAGTACCTGTTTAGAAAGTAGTATATCTGCTGTGCACAAAATCACATATATCCCTGGGAAAGGTGGCATTCATATTTGCCCGTACCTATTATGTATTTATTCCAAATACTCTTCATACTGATCAGAATCAAGAACTGCATCCTCAAATCTTCATGATCTTCTATCTTCTCTTGCCAGAAGTTGCTTCTTCAAAAACATTTCACCATAGCTAATGAGTTATCTTTCCCCTAACTTGGAAGGAGACCTGATTTCATTCACACCTACCTTCTTACAAAGTAAGAACCTTCCACATAATGTGTTCCACCTGAACTCACCCAGCAGGCCTGTTCAAGCAGGAACACTTATTTGCAGGAACAAGGAAACCTGTGTGGTGTCCAGAAAGGAGGAAGTGGCTGCCAAAAAACTTGTCAGTCATACACCTCGGGAAGCTTTGAGAAATCAGCATAGAAGAAAGCATAGAACAGGCTTCTCGTACAGCATCCCAACTGCCAGCCTTGTGGTTGAGAAGGATGAATTCTCCCTACAGGTGGTGATAGAAGGTGCACTTGACTGAACATGCCCAATGGTTCTCCTTCCTGTGTTGTGTTTCTGCCTCTCTATTTGTTCCACGGAGAAGATTCACCCCCTACTGTCTAGTTTGGGGGCACTTCCCAACAGAAAAGAGTACCAGTATTAAACTTGATTTCAGTCACAGACCAGCATAAGATAAAACATATGGATAAACTGAACACATAAGACTTAAAATAGGTAAGGGATAAAAACTAGTAATTAAAAGGTGATTATATCATACATTAAAAAGATAGAAACAAGGACAAATGGTTAAAAGCGACTATAAGGGAGGGAGTGTGAAGCAGCACAGGACTTGCATTTTGGGCCTGGTTTGTGGCGAAAACCACCCTTCAACAAATATCCATCATGGCAGCACAAAATCTAGCAACTGAGTATGTAACATCTGGGTTTTCATTTTGAAGTAGCAGGGAAGTATAAAGCTGTTCTGTGCGACCTGGGAATTTTTGTAGTATAGGCAAAATGAACCTAGCTCGTATATCTGTATAGTATTGGCAGTGAAAAAGACAAGCTCTGTTGTTTCCAGTTGCCCAGAGCCACAAGGGCATTTCCTCTCCTCATACGGTGTTTTCCTACAGTGGCCTTCCTGGATAGAGGGCATGGCAGCGGGCCAGAGTGAAAGCCCTTCGCTGTTTTGGATTTTCAGGGTTGGTTATATACAGTGGCGCTGTGGTTTAAACCACTGTGCCGCTTGGACTTGCCAATAGGAAGGTTGGCAGTCCGAGGCCCCGTGACGGGGTGAGCTCCCATTGTTTGGTCCCAGCTCCTGCCAACCTAGCAGTTTGAAAGCACACAGTGCAAGTAGATAAATAGGTACCTCTCTGGCGGGAAGGTAAACGGCGTTTCCATGTGCTGCTCTGGTTTCGCCAGAAGCAGCTTAGTCATGCTGGCCACATGACCCAGAAAAACTGTCTGCAGAAGCGGACAAACGCTGGCTCTCTCGGCCTGTAAAGCGAGATGAGCGCCGCAACCCCAGAGTCGTTCGCGACTGGACTTAACTGTCAGGGGTCCCTTTACCTTTACCACCTTTACGCAGGGGTACGAATACCCCTAAACATTTTGTGAATCTAAGTTTGGCCTCATTAAGGGGCAGTATTTCAATATGAGCAGGAAAATGAGAGTACCCCTAAACATTATTATTTTTAAAAGAAAAAAAGCACTGGTTATATATGGCATCTGGGAGGTAAGATGTCTTCTCATTTCACTGATTAAAAATTTCAGGGACCTGCCTAGATCTGTTTGGCATTTGGTATCAGTCCACATGCTGTTTGATGGGTTTTTTTGGCTTATTCATACCCCATGTTGAGTAGGATCTGTAGAGTGAAGTCTAGAGTTGTTACGTTTATCACTGCACATTTCCATGTCATTTGGAAACCACCCTTAATAGCTAAAGTAATAATAATTTATTATTTCTACCCCGCCCATCTGGCTTTCCCCATCCAACCTCTGCTCAAAAACTACCATGGAAGAAGAGCCCAAAACCTCTCAAGGGAAACCTAAAGGTGCAATGCCACACATGAGGAAGGAGAGTAGGAAGTCAGTGGGAAGTGCCCAACAACCAGATGGGGGGGGGGCATTTTCAGACTGGGAATGTGGTCCTCAGTTTGAAAACGGATACCTACCTCTATCCTAGAGGTTCACATATAAACAGGAAGAAGTTGCTGTCAGGCTGGTCATTAGCTTGTATGTATATAAATACCTTGGTCATGTCTCTTATGCAAGTGTCAATGCTCCAGAGTCCTGACCTTTATTTCTCTCTTCCTAGCCTCTTCAAGCTTGCTATTTGCCTTAGAATCATGGAAATGTAGAGTTGGAAGGGACCCCAAGGGTCATCTAGTCCAACCCCCTTGCAATGCAGGGATAGCAGATAAAGTATCCATAACAGGTGGCCATCCAACCTCTGCTTAAAATCTACCAAGGAAGAAGAGCCCACAACCTCCCAAGAGAGCCCTTTTCACTGTCGAACAGCCCTTACTGTCACAAAGTTCTTCCTGATGTTTAATCAAAATCTCCTTTCTTTTTGACTTGACTCCATTGGTTTGAGTCCTACCCTCCAGTTCATGTCCTTTCAGTATTTGAAGATGGCTATCATATCTCCTCTCAGTCTCCTCTTCTCCAGGTTAAACATAGCCAACTCCCTCAACTGTTTCTCATAAGACTTGGTCTCCAGACCCTTGATCATCTTGGTCACCCTCCTCTGCACATGTTCCAGCTTGTCAATATCCTTCTTAAATTGTGGTGCCCAGAACTGGAAACAGTGCTCTAGGTGTGGTCTGACCAAGGCAGAATGGAGTGATACTATTACTTCCCTTGATCTGGACACTATACTTCATTTGATGCAACTTAGAATAGCATTAGCTTTTTTTGCTGCTGCATCACACTATTGACTCATGTTAAGCTTGTGATCCACTAAGACCCCTAGATCCTTTTCACATGTACTACTAGTAAGTCAGGTGTTCCCCATCTTATATTTATACAGCTGGTTCTTCCTGTCTAAATGCAGAAACTTACTTTAAATCCTGGTCCCTGCTTGTTTGGTCTGACTTCTCCCACTTATGATTCTATCCAAACTTTCTTTCCTCTGATCCAGCTATATTTCAATTATGTTGTCAAAATATGGTGTTGTTGGGGTGTGTGTGTGAGAGAGAGAGAGACAGACAGACAGACAGACAGACAGAGACAGAGAGCATTTTCAGTTATGGAAAATTCAGATAAATTAATCTTTACATTTGAAAAAAAAAAACATCTTTCTCTTTCTCTTTAAATATATTCTTTCCCATATTGTGCCTTTTTATGTTGCTCTTATCTTTTCTCACCAAGCCTGGCTATATTTTTGTTTTCTCTTCTTGCTGTATGTTTATGAAGATTTGCTTTATAGGGCTCGGATCTTGGAGCAGCCTTTTATAAACATAAAAGAAGTGTCACTGTTTTAATACAACTGATTTATAGGCTTTACTCTTTCAGATGTAACATTATTTCAAGTTTCAATTAAACGCTCACCCTCCCATTACACTGGCACTTGCTCACTGGGATTTTTTTTTAATTACTTCACATTTGATTTCTTCATATCTAATATTCTTGCCAAGAGTGTATTTTTTGTGAAATTATGCTATAATAAACTCATGTTTGTATAATTTAGTAAGATTGAATGAAACTACCTTCAAGTTACTAAGCAATAGTATTCCACCCATGAATGTGAAGCCTTTCTCTTTTTCTTTTTCTTTTTCTTTTTCTTTTTCTTTTTCTTTCTCACTTTCTCTCTCTCTGTGTGTGTATGTGTGTGTAGGGAAGGAAGAATCCTAGGAATATGATTAATGAATGGTTGAATTTTGAAAATTATTCTTGGAGGCCTGCCTGCACCCAAAGATAAAAATTCCTTAATGTGCCATGTGTGTCTATAGATAGAGAAATCTATAGGACTCTCTTTCTTCAGTCTGCTATCTTTGAGAAGTTAGATTATTATATTACATTTGTTATCTTCAGTACTGCAGGGTGAGCTTCTAAAAAAGTCCAGCTGCCTCCCTACTCTATAAATCAAAAGTAATGGTGAGATAACAACAACAAAAATACATTCTGGTTGAAGAACATTAATTATTTGGGATGGAGCAGGGCAGGGCAAAGGACTGCAAGAGAAACAAATTGTTGTAGGCTGGTTGGGTAAAGAGAATTGCATTAGAATAGAAGAACGCAGAGAGCAACTATATTCTCTTCTGCAACTCTCATTCATTTCAGCAAGGCT